ACCTGGTTGTTCTTGATAATGCCGAGTTCATCAATAAATCTGGCAACGAAGCTGTGAGTATCCTAGGGGCTCTGGAAAATTGATTCATGTATTGCTTTGTGTCTCGCATGCCATATTGACCACAACGTCACCGTCATCAGAACAACCTCCGCATGGGTTAAGGCTTGCATTAACGTAAACAGCCACTGCTTTGCATTAGGCTCCGTATTCGCTATGATTTTATGTGTGAACTCGTCATCCGCTAGTGCCCAGACGCTTCTTGATGCTGTGCAGTCTAGCAGGGAGTGACACCACGAGTCCTGCGCTCCGCATAAACCACATTGATCAGCATCAGCCATGTGTCTATGTGCGCGAACGTCATTGGTCGGCAGCAAATGCTTGGAAAGTCTCCAGAGGAACATTCTGATTTTGCCCGGTACGTCAATTTTCCAAAGTGATTTCCATGCACTTTCTTCTGTTCTAGGATTTGAAGTACCACCTGACCCATCAAGGCCTCCCTTCATTGTTTTGTAGCAACTAACATTCTGTATGCAGATCTAACCGAAAAACAACCATGTTTCTCATAGTGCCAGGCCCAGAAATCTGGTATACTGCGCGTACACAGAGGAATTCCCATAATGGTCTGTACATCCATGGGCATGAACGTGGCCTGGATTAGTTGGGCGTTCCACGAGGCACTTGACCTCACGATAAGATCAGACACTCTTTGTGGTGGGTTCGGTACAATGCTTCCCAAAGGTCGTAGCATGTCATCACGGGGAAGCCAGTTATGAGTCCATATGTTGGTGTCAGCACCATTGCCAATGCGTCTAATTAGCCCCATCTTCAGAGTGTCTTTTCCATCCATAATGGCGCGCCACACCTGACTCGGGTGACTTCCCAGTTCGGCTTCGACGAAATCCCTGTTTGGGTAATAGATGCTTTTGAGGACACGCGCACAAAGGGTATCCGGGTCCTGTAACAAGCGCCACGCTTGCCTGGCCAGCATCGCAAGGTTGAATAACTCGAAGTCTTTGAATCCAAGGCCTCCCATACCCTTTGGTTGGGTCATTGTGCTCCAAGACACCCAATGAGGCTTCCTCTTTCCTTCCTTACTGTAACGCCCCGGACACACCCGCCGGTGGTCGTTACTCCTGGCGGGGTCTAGACTGGCCCCACAGATCAATACTAGTCTTTTCTGCGCACTTTGTCCTTACTCGTGCGCACCCGGGAGAAACTTCCCGGCCGGTCACCCATCCTGACACTACTCCAAGCTAAGCACGCTTAACTTTGGAGTTCTGTCCGAATGGGCTCCCGGAAAAGAAGGAATTCCTTATTGATATGAGTAGTCTATCATCCCTAATAATCCAGGCCATCACATACACCCCCACTTAGAGGAACCGACGTCCTCGTCGGGCCACAGAAACATTCCCTCTTGGCACAAACGTCTGTGCTTCAGTCCGGTACATGTGCCATGACGGGTGCCACGACGGGTCACAAACGTCATGAACAACATGACCACGCACCTGTCCGCAACCATCCGTGTAACCACGAGGGTCGGCTCTGATACCAACTTGTAACGCCCCGGACACACCCGTCGGTGGTCGTTACTCCTGGCGGGATCTAGACTGGCCCCACAGATCAATACTAGTCTTTTCTGCGCACTTTGTCCTCACTCGTGCGCACCCGGGAGAAACTTCCTGGTCGGTCACCCATCCTGACACTACTCCAAGCTAAGCACGCTTAACTTTGGAGTTCTGTCCGAATGGGCTCCCGGAAAAGAAGGAATTCCTTATTGATATGAGTAGTCTATCATCCCTAATAATCCAGGCCATCACACTTACCCCCCACCAAAACTTTCTAATCAGCATATTCAGATGTTCGCAAAGCCCTCTTGGAAGCTTAAAACAAGACATAGAGAAAACTGGCACTGCCTGAGCGACAGACTTGACTAATACTTCCTTACCAGCCGTGGACATGGTACGTTCAATCCATCCCTGTACCTTGCTCCATAGTCTATCTTTTAGGTATTTGAAGGCACCATTCTTTGAGCTACCAATATCAGAGGGCATCCCTAAATACTTCTCATTAAGGGTTTCATTAGGGACATTGAGTACCTCTTTGATCTATTGTCTTACCGAATCAGGCACTCCCTTGCTGAAATATATTGAGGACTTTGAGTGATTGATACGCTGCCCTGTCGCCTGACAATAAGTATTCAGAACATGGTTAACCTCATTAGCACCCACACTGTTTGCCTTGAAGAACACCAGGCTATCATCAGCGAATAGGAGATGGCTCACTGGTGGCGCCGTTGAGGCAACCTGTAGACCACTCAAGTTTGATGACTCACTTTTTGATTTTAACAGGCACGAAAGGCCCTCTGCTGCTAGCAAGAACAAGTATGGAGATATGGGATCCCCCTGTCTGATTCCACGTGATGGTTTGAACTGTTGGAGTTTCTTTCCGTTAAACAGCACAGAGAAAGTCACTGTGCTAACCAGGCTCATAACAATATCCACCCACCTGGCGTTGAAGCCTAGTTTGAGCATTATGGCTTTTAGATAAGCCTCCCCGGGACAAAAGCTGACTGTTCCGATGAGATAATTTCAGGCAATACTACCTTCAATCTGTTGGATATTACCTTTGATGCAATCTTGTACAAAACATTACAAAGGCTGATTGGACGAAATTGGGATAGAAGTGATGGATTTTTTACCTTTGGGAAAAGAACCAGGATCGTGTCATTGATACATTCTGCTGATTTGGTTCCATCAACTATTCTCAAAACAGCCTTGGTGACCTCCTCTCCGCAAGTGTCCCAATGGTGTTGGAAAAATGGGCAGGGTATCCGTCCGGGCCTGGTGCTTTAATAGGGTACATTTGGAACAAAGCCGTTTTAACCTCCTTTTCGGTGTAAGGCGCACACAAGTTCTCATTCATCGCTTGTGTAACTTTTGCTGGTACTGTCTCAAGAACCCTTTCCATATCGTGGACCCCTTCAGACATGTACAAATCGTGATAAAAGGTGATGGCCATGTTTTCCATCTCCGTCAGATTCTCAGTTAACTGACCATCAGGTTTTTGGAGCGATTTGATCTGGTTTTTCCTTCTTCTTCGACTTGCACGTAGATGGAAAAAATACGTGTTCTTATCCCCATGTATCAGCCAGTCTAGCCGGGCTCTCTGGCGCCAAAGTATTTCCTCCCTGTGGTACAGCTCAGTGAGCCTATCAACAATTTTTATCTCTGCATGCATTGGACCGGTGCGGTTTGGCGTGTTCCTCAACTCCTTTAGCTCCTTTTTTAACTCCTGGATTTCCCTTCTCACATTCCCAAAATGGTTCCTGTCCCAGTTTGATAGATGCAAGGATAATGACCTGAGCTTGTCGTTCACCGCACTGACAGAATCTGCCGCTCCACTCTTCCATGCTGTCTGCACTGTTGGCTGCTGGCTCGGATCCCGCTCCCATGCCACTTCGTATTTAAATGTTCGTGGGACCCGGTTGCATGCATCTCCATTCATATACCTCACGTAGATGGGTACGTGATCGCTTGTGCAGGCTGATTTGTGTTCCAAGCGTGCATTAGGGAAAGCGATCGACCATGCCGGGTTTGCCACACCCCGGTCGAGTCTCACCCTTGTAAAAGTTCCTCCTACCACTTTCCGTTCAAACGTCCAGCTGGTACCTGTATATCCTATATCCGCTAGACCGCAGGTATCAAGTGCATCTCTGAATGCGTCCATTTGCGCTTGGCTTCTGTTTCCCACTCCGTCATGCTCATGGGGTTGCAGCACCTCATTAAAATCACCTAGGACCAGCCATGGTAAGTCACTCACACCAACAATTCCTCTTAACGTGTCCCAAGTTTTGTACCTTCCATTTACTTGGGCTTCTCCATAAACGAAGGTCACCCTTGTTCTGACATCAACAAGATCATCAATAACAGCATCAATATGGTACTGAGAGTAACCGACAATTTCAAGCTTTATTTCATCATTCCAAAAAACACCTAATCCTCCACTTCTCCCCGAGCTACTGACAGCAAAACTTTTATTATAACCTAGTGAACCACCCATGTTCTCAACTCTAGATCCCTCCATCTGGGTTTCAAGGATACAAATACAGAGGGGGCAAACTGCTTCGTAAGATCACGAAGCTCTTGAACTGTCGCAGGTTTGCCGGCGCCGCGGCAATTCCAACATAGGAGACTCATTGCGCTTGGCGCGACCCCCCTAGGGGGCCCGCCAGACGCGCATCTTGATTTTTGGTGGTCACTGTGTTCTTCCCCGTTGGCTTCTCGATGGTCAATGAACTCATCTTGTTCCTTTTCGGCTCTTGCTTTTCAGATGGACTGGCTGGAACCTCAGGAGCGGGCAGCAGCATGAGATTGTTGGTGTCAGACGGAGTTTTCGCTG